AAATATCTGAGCAGACAGCAGACAGTGGTACCTACACAAAGATCTAGGCAGTAGTCCCTACGTTTTTGGTGTATACTTATGCAAACTTTAACAAATATTGTGAAGAATTCTCTAAAATAAGCATTAGTGAAGTCACTTAGTCCTGTCCGACTCTTTGCGACCCCATGGACTACAGCCTCCAGGTTGTAGTCCAGGCTCTTCGGTCCATGGGATTTTCCAGGCAAGAATACTAGAGTGGGTTGCCATTTCCTTCTCCAGGAGATCTTCTCAACCCAGGGACTGAACCCAGGTGTCCCACATTGTAGACAGATGCTTTACCATCTGAGCCACCAGGGGACATGGAATAAGCATTATGTGTTGGTAACTAAGAACACGAGCTCTAGAGTCTTAAGTATGTGAACGGGATAGTGTCACCAATTGCTAAACAGGTAGTTTGGGACACTGATCTTGGACTTAATTCTTCTTACCCCGATCCCAGCTTTCTCATCTGCAAAGAGGACAGAAAGGACTGAATCAACAAGGGAAGAACTGATGAAAAATGAAAACAGGATGTTTTATAAACCAGTCACACTTTTCATTGCAGTCAGGTTGAAACATAAAGCTGGTTTGTCAGTGATGTTGTGGAAGAGATTCCTGCATTGTATATGAAAAATGTGACTCACATAAAGATGGGAAATACATTCCAAGAGTCTACATGTCTAAAAAAAGAAGTCACTTTATTAAGGAGATTCAAGTCACTAGGTAATACAAATCATTTTCCTATCCTGAAAAACTAGGATTTCTGGGATTCAGACCTAACTATTTCATTTCCACAGACCAAAAAAATAATAATAATTTAATGAAATTGTTGTCAGCTAACTAAATTATAGAATAAATGTTCATTTCATTTAAGAGAGTAAATTATGTACTTTATTTGGCTTGCTTTATCTATGAGCTTCATTTTTCTTATATTTTTTCCCTTAGGTTTCATATATAAGTGAGATCATATAGTATTTGCTTTTCTCTGTCCGACATTTCACTTAGCATAATGCCCTCAAGGTCCATAGGCATTGTTGCAAATGAAAGATTTCATTCTTTTTAAAGATTGAATGATATTCTATTGTGTATTCTTTACCCATCTATCCATCAGCAGACACTTAGGTTGTTTCTTTATCTTGGCTACCAGAAATAATGCTGCAATGAACACTGGGGCAGCATATATCTTTTTAAAAAGAATTAGTGTTTTCATTTTCTTTGGATAAATACCCAGAAGTGGAATTGCTGGATCATATGGTAGTTCTACTTGTAATTTTTTGAGGAACCCCTATATTATTTTCCATAATAGAGCACCAACTTATATTCCTACCACTAGTGCATGAGAGTTCATTTTTCTTTACATCCTCCCCAACCCTTATTACTTCGTCTTTTTGATATTATAATAATAGCCATTCTAACATGTGTGAGGTGATAACTCATTATGGTTTTCATTTGTCTGTCCCTTATGATTAATGATGTAAAGCACCTGTTGGCTCTTGAATATCTTCTTTGGAAAACTATCTATTTGGATCTGTCCATTTTTAAATCTAACTGTTCTGTTATTTTTTGCTGTTGAATTGTATGAGCTCTTTATATATTTAGAACATTAGCCCCTTATCAGATGTAAGATTTACAAATATTTTCTTCCATTCAGTAGGCGGCCTTTTCATTTTGTTAATGCTTTTTGCAGTGCAGAAGCTTTTCTGTTTGATGTAGAACCACTATTTTTGCTTTTACTTTTGGTGTTGGGTTAAAAAAATCATTGCCAAGACCTATGTCAAGGAGCTTACCACCTATGTTTTCTTCTAGGAATTTTATGGTTTCAGGTCTTATGTTCAAGTATTTAATCCATTTGGAGTTAATTTTTGTTTATGGCATAAGACAGTGGTTCAGTTTCATTCTTCTGCATTCTAGCTTATGCATTTGCCTACAGTTAATGTGCTATTTTTTTTAGGTCTTCTTTACTTGTGAAAAGCAGGTCAAACAAGAGTCAGCAATTAGTTAAAGAGTATATAGTTCAAAAATAAAGGAGTTTGAACCATATAAGTGATTATACTTATGATAATACATCTTTGTCATAGTCTCTGTCTCAAAGAATTCGGAGTCTAGAAAAAGAGAAAATGTGATGCAACAAACATATTACATTACAGAGCAATAACTGCAGATGCTACACTAGATAAAATGGAGGTGGTGACCACTGCTGCTGGAAGGACAAAGGAGGAAGTGTTAGGCTATAATATCAAATAAGGTAGACAAAACATTACTTAGCAATTAAAAGGTCGCTGGCAACCTCTATTAACCAGAGTTAGAGGCAGTTACTTTGCCTTGTGCTGGGAAGTGAATGAGGTGGAGAGCTGTTGTAAAAATCTTTGAGACTGATTAAAGCTATATTCAAGAAATCAAAAACCTGAGCAAATAGGTGAGCATAGTGATCTTCAGATATACAAAAGAATATTCAAACTTATGCACTTAAAGGATAGTCTTCAAACAAATTCACATAAATCAATTTGTAATTTAATGAGTTAGTGAAAACAGAAGCTTCCATCACAGTTTCTCCAGATTTGTGGCAAGGGTCAGATTACCATAATCTGCAGACTACCATATACCATTCATCATGAATGCATTTTTAGAAAAATCTCTTTGTAATCATATGAGAAAGTAATTCAAACAAATTTTAACACAAATGGCAATCTTCTTTCAATTTTGCAATTCAAAGTCATAAACATTAATAACCAAGATCATCTCTAGCTCTGCTTTGCTCAGGATATATGATTAAATATTTTTGCACCCAAACCAATCCTATCTTCTAAACTGCTCGTAATTTCCAAAAACCCAAACACTTCAGCACAGAGAAAACAGAAAACAAACCAAAAAAACTAGTTTTTTTTTTTCTTTTTAAATTTTAAAGTCATAAGACAATAAAGGAAGCAGTTCCTTAACATTAATGGAGGGTAGGTTTGGAATATCAAAAGTCTCTTCCTTTATTTGGCATTTTGGATTTTTCCATGATTATATTAACAATAAATTATCAAGAACCTAAGTATTTGAAAAGTGTTTAATTCAAAAAGGATAATGGTCATATTAATGCTCCCTTCTAAGAAGAGTGTCTCAAAAATTATGACTGCTTACATGAGAGAAGAAAAGTTTGAAATTTAACCCCATTTCCTATCTTGTTGACACTTTTAAATACAACTTTGTGAAAAAATTCAGAATTACCAAGGATTTTAACTTAAATCTTCTTTAACAACATCCTCGTCAAGTTACTTAATCCAAATTCACTTAAGTAGTTACAAGAATGAATTCTACTTGAGTAACAAAACAAGTCTGTACAGGAGCAGAGTAAGATGTGCACTCTTATTTATTTAAAAGTATTGTGTGCTGAAAAACTTCTTTAGATGTAACATGTTTACGTGTAACTCCGGTGGAGATGGAGAAAAATACGACTTGCTTAAAAATAAAAGCTTAAAGGAAACGTCTTTCCTAACCACTGCTCATTCCTCAGACAGGTGCAGATGCCTAAGCCCTCCTTCCATCAAGCCCCCACTCAGAAAAGGTGCCTCCTACACACAATTTATTTCGTTGCTATAACACTTGGTTTCTAAGCCACAAAGGGATTCCTTCTGAGTGGAGAGGATAAAGCATAAGAAAAAGGGAGGGTCCGGCTGTTTCAGCGATTGATCAATTCAGGTTCTCATTTGGAGATCCTGCTTAAACACAGAGATCTGAAACACCCCGCTGTTAGGTGTCACAGGACAAGGCGATCTCTTGGGATACATCAGGCAAGGGACTAAAATTTTAGGGGTTGAAACTACACACGCAGCAGCTCCGGATTCTTATCAAAACAATAGCGAGTGGCACATGTCAGGCGGTCCACATGCTCAGGGGGATAAAGAGGAGGCTGGTTAGGGTTGGAGTTGAACTTGTCTTAACCCCCTCCCCCAACTCCCACCGCCGCGCTCCGGGCTACGGCAAAGTGAAAACGAGGGGGCGCCCAGGGCCCGGCTCTCTCCCCCTCCTTTTCCCCCGCCCAGCCCCGACTTCTTCCTCACCCGGTCTCCCGGGGGCGGAGACGCCAAGTTCCCCGGGGCCGGGAGTTAGTCACCAAGAAGAGGCGGTGACAGAGCGCACGGCTCGCTTCGCACACTACAAGGCCTAGCCGCACGGGACCGGAGGCGGCCCGCCGAGGCTCCGGTGTCCCGCGCTCCACGGCCCCCGGCCCGTCGGGGACCCCCCCTTGCTTCCCCGAGTCTCAACTCTGCTCCCACCCCACCCCCGCCCCTACTCGGGGCAGCGCCAACGTCAGGCTCCGCTCCTGACCGAGGGAAACGACGCCCAGCCCCGGCCGTTTCCTGCCCCCGGGGGCGGGGATTCCCTCCCCGGGCCGGGGGACTGCGACTCCGTGCCGCTGACCCGAGAGGGGATCCCCTCGGCCGCCGGGCGGGGATCCCGGAACTGGCCCCGGAGCGCGCGTGTGGCCGCGGCGGGGAGGGGCGAGGCGGGGAGTTTCCGCCGCTCTGCGGCCGGGTGGCAGCCGCGACTAGAAGCGGTCCCCGCAGCCGGCGGGGACCAAAGGCTCCTCCGCCCCGGCCGGCTGTCCCTCACGCGCGCCGCGGCCGCTCGGGCCGCCGGGGGCCCCCTGCGCAGTCACCGGGTCGGGCACTGGGGGCCAGAGAAACGCGGGCCCGTAGCCACCCGTCACTTTCGAGTCGCCCCGCCAGAAGCCCGGGGCGAGGAAAAGGAGAGAGACAAAAGGACGATGGGGGGGGAGTCCCCACGCTCCCTCGCACCCCCGCGCCCGGCCCGGCCCTTACTCGTAGTGGCGGAAGATCTCGTTGGTGACTTTACAGTAGAAAACTTCCTCGTCGGGCCGCAGGTCTGCGGGCGGCTTCTGTCTCACAAACGGCTTTCGGTGTAGCAGCGGCATCTCGCGTCCGCCCGCGGGCTCACCCGGACCCTCGGCCGCCCGCGCCGGCCCCGCTTCCCTATCAAAATTGGAGGGAAAGGAAAGCCGGTAAGGTAGGGAGCGCTCGGCGGCGGCGGCGTGGGCCGGTCCGCGCGCCGGGGGAAGCTCGGCTGCCTTTTGTGTGATTGACCCACCGCGGCTGCCACCCGAGTCGAGGTGGCTGCTGTCGCGACCAGGGTAGTGAACCGGCGGAGCCGCCCCACCTCCGCACGCCCGGCTGCCGGCTCACAATGGGGCCGGACGCCCTGCCGCGGGCGGTGCGGGAGCGGCGGCCCCCTCCCCCAGCGCCCGCTCCCTGCCTGCCGCCGCCGCCGCCGCCGCCGGGCTCACAACGTGCTCGGCGCGCAGCCGGCCGGCCCGACGCCGCGAGGGAGTTCGCTGCTGGCGGACCCCGGCGCCGCTCCGCTTTGTTCCCCCGCTCGCCTACACCTCCCTGCCGGCGCCGGCCGGCTACCGAGCGACCACACCGAGTCCCTCACCTGCGAGCACGCCGGCTGCCACTTCTCCACCTTCTCAACTACAGAGGCGGCGAGGGGAGGCTCTGTCCCCCCGGGGGGTCGCTTCTCGCCGGCCCTGCCGCACCGCCGGCCGCCGCTTCTCCCGCTGCCACGGCCTGGCTCCGCGCGGGGGATCGCGTCCCACCGCCACTTCCCCGCCTCTCGGAGCTCCTGGGAAGTTTCTGATCTACTTTCGGCTCTGAAGGAGGAAGAGCTGTTGGGAGGAGCTTTTCACTTCTCGCTTCTACCTTTTTATTGGCTACTCGATGACTTTTACAGCCTGTCACTGATACAGGAAGAGACGGAGGAGAGCCTGGGAGAGCTACATTATTAATTAATGGAGCAACCCCTAGTGAAGAATCAGAAGCATCCTCCATGTTTGCGATTATCAGCCCAAAGATCTGGGGAGAGCGCTGGGGTTTCATAAACACTTGGCTAACAAAGTAAAAGCCTTCCTCTTCAAGTTTGGTACCAGCGCTTGGTTCCACGATGGGAAAAGGATTCCGATTAAGATTTAACTTGTATTTTAAGGATGGGACGAGAGATAAGGAACAAGAAATGAATAACCTTTTGAAATTTTCTTCTTCAGAATTAGAATTCTCATGTCTAAAATAAAATACTTTGCTAGTGTAAACATTCATCTCGAAAAGAAGATACTTTTCTTGACAGCCGTGCTCTTTAATACTTAGGATAATTCAAAGATTTAGCAGAAGAAAAGACCAGAAAGAAAAGTATACGGCAGAAAATGAAATCATGCCTGCAGGACGACCCCCACATATTTAAAAACCACACCTTTAAAAAGTAATGTTTAGAATACGCCGCTGAAAATATATGCAAGGGATCAATACTTAGTTCAGTCGCCCAGAATTTCAAAGATTATGAATATACTACTGAAATTTCTCCTAAAACAACTTCCCCATATATATGATTTCCATTTGTGAAATTAATTTCAATGCATATAATACATGTGACTTAATGAATTAAAAAGAATTGTCAAAATGTTTGCCATCTTTGTATTAAATGGTCATTTTTGCTGCTGCCCTTGAAATTTGCTTATTTGCATATTAACATGTAAGAATGGGTCTAAAAGACAGTAAGTCTGAAGAACAGTCATTCAAAAAAGGATGCAGTAATACTATGAAATGATCTCAGTTATAGAAACAATGTGGGATCATCTTTGTATCTTTAAATTAAGTACATATATACATTGGAGCAGAAAATGTTAGAATTCTATCCAAATCTCAAGAGTTATTTTTAAACTTCTTTTAAGATACTTCTATGGTGGCTAGCAAAATAAAACTTTGTGATTCAAAAATCATTAATAAAATTAATGCACCTAGTCTACAGTCGAGAAGCCTGGAAATGCTCTCAGTAGTAAGTATATTCTTTAGCCTGGATAAAGTCTTCAAAAAAATTATGAATGCAAAGATTTGGTGTTTTAAACTGGTCTCCAATTAGTACAGAGTGATAATATAGAATTCCCTACCTATAAAGTAACTTACCAGATAAAAATGTTAGAACCCACAAAGATAAACTCAAAATGGGGACAAGGAGAATGGATAATTTTCGACCAATATTGAACTATCACTCTCACAACTCAAAATCCCACCTTAACTGTTAAGCTAAAATTAGATGAAATTTTATCTGATTATATAGTATTTATATTTCTTAGATCTCACTATTTGCTAAGCTAAAATAATCTTGTTAAAATCATGTTCAAAAATAGTAATGTTGATTTTACTTTTATTAAATACAAATTTTTAAACAACTGGATTCTTTATACTAACCTAAAATTAAAATTTTACTCTACTTCAAACTACTACCATCTAATTTTCCCAACTACCATACCCAAATTTCAGTACCATCATAACTCAGTTCTCTGAGTTACATACATAGGATTTACTTTAATTTCTGATATTTAACCATTGTTATACATAGTTATTATTTTAGAACATGTTTAGTAAGTTATAATTAACATTCAAAGTTTATTTTTTATATGCTTATATTTGATTAATCGATAGCATGGCTAAGGTACCTCAAAATAACATTTCTCCTAAAATTATCCTACATGTTTACTACTGAAAACTTACCTAATGTATTATTAATTTCATATATTGGTATCATGATCACTTTCTTGCTTCTTTACTACTTGACTTTTGAGAGTGAAAAACTGATTGCTGTATTCAGAAAGTAGTGAAAGGATACTGTCATGAAATAGGACTTTGTGTTTTTTAAAAATTAAAAACATTGTAAAGGAAACTATGAAAGAGTATCACAAAGAAAAAAAGAGAAAACAATGAAATTAAAATTTTATCAATTTAATTCAGTTAAACATTTGTCCTCCATTTATGTGCCAGGACACTGTACTAGCTTATGTAAGGGATACAATATAAGTGTATCCTGACCTCAAAAAATGTATAATCTTGTAGGAAAGAGATGATGTAAGGGCAAATAACTGATACAAGAATTGTGTGAGTCCTAATGACCATGAGTAATATAATGCAAAAAGAGACATAGGAAAGATTAAAAGAAAATATAGAAGGGGGACCCAGGGTGGGTCCTAAATGAAGTCATTCACAGGGCACGATTTAAACAGCAATAGAAAGCTCATGTTCCAGCATATCCTTTCAAGTCTCAAGATGCAACCCTCCACTCCATTACCCCTCTGGATGAAGAAACCAGTGGCCCCCACTTAAATGTAAAGTGTAAATATACTAGTTAGGCAGGACATATACCAGCCTAATACCATCAAGACTAGTTTAATATTTGAGAAGGTATACTGCCTTGGATAGGTGAAGACAAGACTATGAAATATGTATTTTTTTAAAAGCTTGAGCTAGATTAGAATACTTTGCCTGTCTTCTTCTATGATTAAGAAAGGCTTTACTTAGGTGATTTGGTGCGACAGTAATTATCTGGAACTGAAAGAAAGCTTTGGGGACTCTCTATTTTTTAACACTTTTAAAAAAATTATTTTTATTAAGCTTTAGGAACTCAATTCTCTCATTTTGCAGCTGAAGAAATGGAAGTTCAGGAGCTGAAATCTAGGCCTCCTGACTCCTTGTCTAGTCTCTTTAGACATGGATTTGATAACGTTTAATTTTCTGGTATACCCTACTTGTACTGTATCTATAAATGAGCTAAAATACTATTACAGATCCTTCCTAAACTGCTAAAATGTGTAAGGGGATAAGATACACTACTTGTGATCAGAAACAATAGTTTTTGAGAATTACACAGAAAAGCAATTGGGGTAATACAAATCTTAAATGTGTCCAATTGAAGAGCTGATAAGACCTATCTCCATGCTTCAGTAAACACATCTAACAAATATAAACATTTAATGTCCCTTGCTTCTAAGTAGCAGTTATATAAGTATTTAGAGGATAGCTGAGAAAGGTGTCTTATAAATATATACAAGGAATATCTTCAACTTCATAACTCTTTCCTTAGTATCTCTGACACCTGTCTCAACTCTATGATCTCTTTTTACGTGCATGCATGCTTGCTAAGTTGCTTCAGTCATGTCTGACTCTGTGCAACCCTATTAACTGTATTCTGCCAGGCTCCTCTGTCTATGAGATTCTCCAGGCAAGAATACTGGAGTGAACTGCCATGTACTCCTCTAGGGGATCTTGATCTCTTTTTAATGTCTTTATAATTCATGGCAATTTTGCCTATAAAAGATTTTTATATATTGTTCTTTAGAAGCAATGAGTACCCGAAACCATTGGCCTTGTACTAGGATGGAGGTGCTAGACCTTAGCTGCCCAGTGAAATTACCAGAGGAGTTTTTGAAAGATACTGATGCTTGGATCATATCCTAGACTAATTAATACAATCTCTGGGGTAGGGACCCTGGTGTTTGGGGTTTAAAAATCAACTCAAATAAAAAAGAAAATCAACTCATGATTCTAATATATTGCCAAGTTGAGAACTACTAAGAGGAGATTGGATTGTTAATGCTGAAGTAGGAATGTTGGCAATTTCTGAATTCATTTTTTATTCAACCCCTTAAAGATACGAATTATGAGATGGTAAGTAGGAGTTGAAAGAATGTCTGTGGCCATCATCATCATCACAGAAATAGTTTACATTTAATGAATGCTTCCAGCTTGTCAAGCATTGTGCTAAGGGCTTTAAATGAATCATCTCATGCAGTTCTCTCAACAAAGTACTATTTATCATTTCCATTTTACAGATGAAGCCACTGAGGCTCAGAGAGGATAATTAAGTAGCTTGCTCAAGGTCAGATACCCCAGGAGCAGAAAAAATGAAATTATCAACTCTATGGAGTCCAAACTCCTTACTACTACTCTATATTTCCAAGGGACTGATTTTCTAATCTAGCTCAGATATAAATTGAAGCAGGGAAATTGAGCCAATGCACTAAACAATGCATTTAGAACTTGTAATGATCAAGAATGTTTGTTAGAGGAAGCCATGGAGAATTTTTTAAATTATCTCAGAGCAGGGAAAGCCTAAGTCTTATAACTCACAGTCCCAAATCCATAAAGATAATTCTATAAAATAAAAATTAAAAGTCTCTGCATGACAAAGGCTACCACAAGTTGGAAGACAAATAGCAAACTGGGGAAAGAATTATTTGCAACTCACTGACAAAGGGATGATTTCCCTTATGTATAACTTTCTGTTTTCCTGTCATAATAATAAATCACAATAAGCCAAGATACACAGAAAAAAGAACATAAATGGCTTCTAAAACATACAGAAAGATTCTCCACCTTACCCATATAAGAGAAATGCGAATTAAAACTACACAGAGATGACATTTTTCATCCTTCAGATTTGCAAAGATCACCGTTATATGTCGGTAAGTCTGGGGAAACAGGTACAACCTCTGTAAAGGGCAAATTGGTGATATTTATCCAAAATTACAAATGTACATAAAATCTCCATCTCTAGGAAAATATCCTGTAAGTATATTTGAATATTAGACTCTATTTTGGCTTTGTTAGAAATAGCATAATCTTAAAATTCATGGAAATTTCCATAATTAAAGTATGATGGGTTCATATAATGGAATGGTATGCAGACATAAGAAAGAATGAGAAAATTAAAAAAACAGTTCATTAAAATATGCATTTAGTGTATATTAAATGCAGACTTAATGTATATACATATTTGCTTGATACATAAAACACATCTGGAAAGACACTGTAAAATAACACACTGGTTGCCTCTGGGAAAAGAGTTGCTGGGGGACAGGGATCAAAGGAAGATTTTTTCACTTGTAGAAAGTCGAATAAAAATTTTTAAGATACAGAGATTAGATGGTAAGCTGACAGGTCAGGACAGATAGCTAATATAATAAAGTCCTCAACACAATTGGAAATAAGTTTAGAATTGCAAATACAAAGTAAAAAATGTCTGTTAACTATTTTACAGGGCCTACCACAGGGCTTTTTCCATGACACGAGTTCAATACATATTTGTTGGATGTATGAGAAGTTAGATGGATATATAAAATACAAACTTAATTTGATTACAGTGAAAGAAACAGAGTCAGATGGATGGCTGCTTTCATCTTATCCTAGAAATAGAATTTAGATTACACACAACCAAGAAACTCTCTCTAGACTACATTAATTATTATCTCTATATCAATTTACAGAAAAAGTTATACTATATTCAGCCAAATAGATTAATTATTGTTTTTAAAAATAAGACATATAAGGAACAAGTAGAAAGTTTTAAAATTTGAATTACAGGGTTCTTATTTTTATCAATTGCAAAACTAATTTTTAAGTTTTAGTTTATCTGTAGTAAATAGCTACCAGATAAAAGTTGCACTAATATTTGCCATCTCATTTACTAATTTCTGTTAATACTGAGTATAAAATACTGGAATATACTACTTTGTTCTTCTTTCTCTTTAGTGTTCAGGCTACAACCTGTTATCATCACATAGCATTTTAAATATTACTATGTATTTTAAAAAATCTTTAAAAAAAACTTACTACCATGCCTGGAACGTAGTAGGCACTCAAACCTATTATAGAAATGTGCTAAATTCTTTCATTTTTTTCCTTATAATATTTAAATGATTATTATTTATAATATTTGTAATTAGGACCACCATCTTTTTTACTAGTTGGCTCAAGTGGTTGAAGCATGGTATTCATGGCATGCTGCAACACTGACACCATATTGCATGGACTGCCTGGCAATTATGGATGAAGAGAGAGAGTTAAGACAGTTAAAATTCAGAAACCAGTTCTGAACATTTAATTCTAATCTAAGAGTTCCTGGTGAAACATGCTAATGTTACTCTAAGACATTTAGGATTTTCTCCCTCTTACCTCCATTGCCATCATCAGACCTAGAACCCAGCAGTCATGCTACTATCCTATTTTCTCTAGTCTAAATGTTTAGGTCAAAACACCCATCTTTTATTGTCTTAGCACAACTGAAATGTATCTTTTTCATCTGAAAAAGTTTTTTCAACTACCAGTAAGATGTTTCTCAATGACTTCCTAGCATCCAGACCCCACATTCCTGGCATCTAGAAACTAGTTTACCTATGAGAATAAACATCTTGCCTATTTTAGGAACAAAAACCAAATTCCCCAATACTAAATAAACTCTTTTTTTCCATTTCAATCTTCCCTCTTAAAATAAAGACCTCCCTCTTGGTTCCAGTGTGGTAGGGAGAATAATAGCCCCCAAAGATGTCTACAGCCTATTTCCTAGAGTCTGAATGTCATTGTACATGGCAGAAGAAACTTGCCGATATGATTACGATTAAGGGCCTAGAGATGAAGCAAGCTTCCTAGATTATCCAGGTTGGCCCAATCTAATCATGTGACTGCTCAAATGTAGAGAACCTTTCTGGGTGTGGTCACAGATAGAAGGAAGGACTGAATAAAGGTCAGAGGGATATGATGTTGCTGGTGTGGAATGGAGAAAGGGGGCCATAAACCAGAGAATGCAGTGATCTTTAGAAGTTAGAAGAGGCATGGGAATGGATTCTCCACTGAAAGCCTCCAGAAAGGGACATAAACCTGCCTACACCTTTATTTTGCCCAGTGAGACCTGTGTTGTGGACCTATCACTAAGTTTCTGGTAAGTTTTTAGAAAAGCAATAGAAAAATAATATATCCAGTGATGAAAATATTCTTAATTCTCAGCTGATTTTCACAGCAATAATGAACGATACCTTTGAACTTTAATGAATGATTTGGCTCTTTCAAGCTGAGGTTATTAGCAATTCCTACTTCTAGAGTTTTCTGCCATGATTCATCCAACTGCTACCTCTCCAAGTTGCAAAAATTCATCTAGTTATTTCATAATGCATTTTTACCATAACCATACACAACCATAATATATATACAGTTAGAATCAGCTGTATATAGTTGGAGAAGGAAATGGCAACCCACTCCAGTATTCTTGCCTGGAGAACCCCAGGGACAGAGAAGCCTGGTGGGCTGCCGTCTATGGGGTTGCACAGAGCTGGACACGACTGAAGCGACTTAGCAGCAGCAGCAGTATATAGTAAAAGGATTATCAGTGAACAAAGACTTTTCCCCCTCATTAGTTTCTATCTCCTCAGACCTCCTGAGGGTCTTGTTCCATCAATCTTCTCTCTATCCAATATTAGGCTTTCCTTCACTACTGAGATCTCTGCCCTTTGGCTATAATCTAGCTGCAAGTTTCTTTCATGAGGGTGGGGGTGGGGAGGAGATTAAATACATCTTTCTTGATCTTCGGCACTATTTCTCTTTCTCAACCAACATTTAAAAAAGGAAACCTATGCTCCTTGTTTCTACTTCTTTATTTCTCAACCTTCTGTAGCTTCCCCATACTCCTCCCTGAAGCTGCTTTTGATTCTAACCCCCTAACTGCCAAATCCAATAGACTCTAACCAAGGAGGAGTCCACCTTAATCATTCTGGTCCTTGGCATCCTCTCCTACATTTGGCTTTGTGACACATTCTGCTCTGGCTTTCCTTCTATCTCTCTGAACTGTCCTGAGTATCACTGCCGTCACCTCTTCCTCTTCAGCCTATTCCCTAAACCCTGGTGGTTCCAGCTTTCTTCCATCCATTCTCTTCACCTGTCACTCTTCAGGGAAGTCATCTCTAAACCAACATCTCCTCCTGACTACATCAACTGCCCTTATTCTCACTGAAACATGAGCTTTTCTAGGGTCTTCCTGTTCCCTTGGGGACTCCACCACAGCTTCTTGAAGATTTTCTGAGATGAGGAATGAGTCAACAAACTGACATTTTATGAAGATTAATCTAGGAGTGGTAGGTAAGACTGATTGTATTGAGTGGAGCCTGGAGGCAGGGAAACCAGTTGAGAGGACACTGGAGAAGGACAAGGGAATGACAACAGCCTGAATATTGCCTTGGCAATGGAAAGGAAAAAAAGCCAGGAGAAATATTTCAGTGGGTGTATTTAGTGACAGAACTTGATTACACATCAAGGGAGAGAGAAGAAAAGTCAGAGATGATTCAGAAATTTCAGACATGGAAGACCAGAAAGGTCATAATTAACAAAGTTGGGGCAATCGGGTATAGAAATAGGTTTGGGAGGAAGATGAAGCACTGGATTTTAGACATGGAATATCAAAGCAGTGATGCCCTCCAGGCATTAGGAAGACTGGGCTCAGTGGGAAATAACCCACCTGCATTGGAGGAAATACAAGAGATCCAGGTTTGATTCCTAGGTCGAGAAGATCCCCTGGAGGAGGAAATGGCAACCCACTCCAGTATCCTTGCCTAGAGAATTCCATGGACAGAGGGGCCTGGTGGCAACAGTCCATGGGGTCACAAAGAGTTGGACATGACTGAACACACACACACACACACACACACACACACAATTGATGGGTATACAAAAGTAAATAATACTTACTAAATAAATAAAACTCTTGATACTCTTTCTGCTCTTCAGGTGCTCGAACCAAGTATCAGGATGCTCTAGACCCTCACTGGCACTCCAGAATTCCTCACTGGTGTTCGCACCATGAATCAGCCCCAGCATTTGCTTTCTGCTGCTTCTTCCTGATCTATCATTGGAAGGTATTATGAAACACACGCTCTCTAATCTTAGGGCCTCATAGACACACTAATGTCCTTTAAACCCATCTCTATTGACCACGCTACAACAGTTTTTCTAAACCTCTTCATTTTTCTCAAAACTCCAACCTCATCTTCCTTTCTTAGCTGCATCTTCCCTCCTCATTTATTTACAAAATCTGGGCCACTCAGTATGACTTCTGTTCTCAACCCAAATTTTCTTTTCACCTCACCCTCTTTTCCTTCTCTGTTGTCTTCTTTCCAAGGCTACAGCTGTGCTTTTGACCATAATTTTTTTCAACCTCTAGGATCTTATCCCATGCTTGTTTCTTTAGTATCTCCCCTCAGTTGCTCCTTTTTTGACCTGCTAACAAATTCAAGCCCACATTATCCTTTAAAAAACCTTTTTTTCCTTCACTTTGATTCCCTCAGAACTACCAACTTATTACTCTCTTTTGGTGTTACTAAGTAATATAAACTTTACCTCGTTGTCTTGATAGTGGCTTGAATTCTCACTGCTGCTGCTGCTAAGTCACTTCAGGCGTGTCGACTCTATGTGACCCCATAGACAGCAGCCCACCAGGCTCCCCCATCCCTGGGATCCTCCAGGCAAGAACACTGGAGTGGGTTGCCATTTCCTTCTCCAATGCATTAGGGTGAAAAGTGAAAGTGAAATTGCTCAGTCGCATCCGACTCCCAGCAACCCCATGGACTGCAGCCCACCAGGCTCCTCCGTCCATGGAATTTTTCCAGGCAAGAGTACTGGAGTGGGGTGCCATTGATAGCAGTCTGATGTATGTATATCCTATATGTTTGTCTCTCAGGTTCCAAAATTTAAGTTTCAGTAGGGCAGAAATCATATGGTAAATTAATCATAAAATATTTTCAGCTATGATTAAGCAAGAAATAATTGTGAGATTTGGGAGGCTGACTTCTAAGAAACAATAAATAATATAGTACTACTTTGCTTTTATCTGTTTCCGAGGAGTTAAAATTGTAAATGCACTTAGACTTGTCATGTGATGGTTATCTCTTAGTCATAAGTCAGAATTTTTCTGATGTCTGTAACAATAGCAATTATACTCTTTTAAGAACATAAGCGTGAGTCTTGGGCGATCCCTATAGCAACAAATGTAAATGCTAGCACAAGAAGTGGGCATTCCAGTTTTAAACTTGGAAGGCATCATGAGAATACTAATTTTTTCCATTATTAATTTAGATACAATTAATCTTACTTCATAAAAGTTATTTACGTTTTAGAACTTTCTATCAGGAAAGTTGACAGTGCTTTCCCCTCTCTGCTCTACATATACACCTTATTCTCCTTCTAGCATAAAAAGCTACCTTTCTTCAGTTAAAAAATAAATAAATTAAAAAAAAAATAGGCACCTTTCACCCTTGTCCACTATACTGCCTTTCTAATTGTTGATGAAGTTAGAGAACATGCCGGAATGTATTGCTAAGTATTTGGATTTAAGAGCTAAAGAATGAGCTGTGTAAAAACTAACTGTATAACCAACTTTTAGAAAAAGTTATTTTTGTAATTTCACAAAAATAAAATGTGTATTTAATGTTATCTCAACAAAATTAAGGCCCCACAGCTAGAAAACTCCTGAAAAATATCTAAAGATATGATCTAAAATACAGCAAGTTTATTCCTCCTAATTAAGTATAAAAATTAAATTAAAATCATTTAGAGAGAAATTTTTAGGTGTAAAGGTCTTTGCCAAGCACTGAGCTTAATATTTAAATATAAGAAAGTCATAATGGCTCAGATTAAAGGTTTATGTTACAAACATGTATAGGAGAACTACATTCCAATATTATTATTCTTGTCTTAGAGATAATAAAGCTGAGGTATAGCAGAGTAAAGAAATCACCCAAGATCCCTCTTCTGAGTAGGTAGAAGAGCTGGGATTAGAATTCAGATTGGTTAGATATCAAAGTCCATTTATTCAATAAATATTTCTGAGTGCCTTTTATATGTTAGATACAGTTCTTGAGACTTGGGCTTCATTAGAGAAGAAAACAAGATCCCTGCATTCTTGGCATTAATATTTGTTAGCTGACAACACTTCTGTCTTCTCGCCTGCCACCTATCTACACACATAAAGATGAATTTATTTTCCCAAGATTAACCCTTCTACTGAGGCTGTTGATTTTATCACCTTTCTCACAAGTCTCCTTTGAAACCCAGCTTCATTATTGCCTCTTTCACTGGATCCATCCAACCACATTAAATATACATGTCATGTCTCATCTTGAAAGATGACTCTATGTCCCTACTTTCATTTCCTTTTCTCATTCCACACCATACCCCATATTCCACAGCACTCTTCTAACCCTCTGCTACCTCTTTTTCCTTCCAAAGGTTGTTTGCAGTCCTCATGCCTCTCAATTTGTCTACAACATTTAAGCATTCTGACCACTCCTGAAAACTCCTTCCTTGACCAATAAGAAGTCAGTTTATCCTGGCTTTAAAATAACTGTATTTCTACATCCATAAGAGTATCTTTAAGAGAGAAATAGGACCATCTCCTGTCATCACAGTAAGATGTTGAATAAGACAGAAAATTAGCTAAATTTTTCTTGAAATCATCTAGAGGAATTTTTCCTTTTACATCTTAAGGGTTTTCTAATACAAACAAGAAAATACATATTCATATTTATTGTATCATACATTTTGCTGAAAAGTGGAGATAACTACAAGCTAGTATTAAAGTCAGATATCATTTCTACCACTCAGAAGGTGACTCAGACTGCTTCTGACTCAAGTAATACACTCAGAACCAGATACAAGAATTTAAAAAGCATGGATTTGGAGTCATTTAATGGTAGGACAAAAAGTTCCACATAAATCAAGTTTATTTCAGCCCAGTACTAAAACAACTTAGTGCCTCTAAATCATTAAGAAAAGACAAAATGATATTCAACATACTGTTCAAGAGTCTCAGTGTGTATATACCACATATATATACTGTATATACATGCACTTTTTAAAAATCCTTTCCATTGTGAATTACATGGAACAGTGCACAAAATAAACATACAGCTCTACAGCTCAATGAATGATCACACACACACACACACACACACACACACACAGAAAGAAAGAAAAAAAACCACTACCCAGGTAAAGAAAGAGAAGGTAGCCTGTACTCCATTGTTTATAAAATTCATCTATGTTTTTACACATGGCTGTAGATTATTCATTTTTATCACTATATGGCATTCACCATAATTTATTCATTCTTCTGTTGATGAATATTGGTTGTTTGCAGTTTTTACCTATGGATACTCTTGTGCATGTTTCTTGGACATGTGAGTGTGTAGATAAGAATGAAATAGGACATACATATTTTTAGCTTTATTAGTCAAACTCTCTCAAAGTAGTCATACAAATTGGCATTCTCGTAAGAAGCGTTACATAAGTTCTAGTAACTGCATACCCTCATTCATACTTGGTATTGTCTCTTCTTTAGCCATTCAGTTGAGTATGTGGTAATACCTCACTGTAGCTTAAATTTACACTTTCCTGATTGCTAATGAAGTTAATTATCTTTTTATATGTTTATTGGCCATTCAGATTTTTCTTTGGTGATACTTCTTTACATTTTAAAAGATTTTGATATTAAGTGGTTGAAATAAACAGAATAATTTTTGTTAGGTGGAAGGGGGGCAAAAGAACCGCTATTAAAAGTGCTTTAATTTTGCTTCTGGGCTTTCTGAGCAAGGCAAGAAAAGACCCAAAGTTGCCCTGTACAGCAAAGGAGAGTTATTGTTTCTACTGACTCAGCTTAAGGCCAGCAAATACAGAGAAAATGTTATTTTGTTAATAGACGTTAGAGAAACTTGTCTATGTTTCAAAGCTTACTAGGTAAATTTTGTGGAGTCTAAAAGAACAAGGAGGCTGGAGCCAGAGGTATACTGTTGAGAGAGAAGGCATTAGCTTAAAGAATGGACTTCAGTCAGTTTCTAGTGGTTTTTGGTAGCAGCAGAGTCTCAAAACCAGAAAGAGTATTTTCAAGAGAAAGTATAAGCCTGACTGGCTCTCCCCCATAGGCTAAAAGTGAAGCTGCAAGTGGGGGCTGGGATGGGAGGGACAGCTAACCACTGGGTGATCATATATGGGAAATTCACAAATACAGAAGTTTCATTTCCCCTCCACGTCAGATGATTGAAGCTTTTCGTAAAGTCTGTTCTATCAGATGAGAAGAATCCCTTATTTGCCAGATATCCCTATAATAGTTTCAGGATAATTCATCATGCTGGAGAAACCAACAGGCTGTTGCAGAAAGCAGATGCCTTGGTAAGATGGAAGTTTCAATTTTTCATTTGGTACACAAAGCCTTGGGAAATGAAATTTCCTTATCTATAAAGAGTGGAGGTGGATTCCAGGCTCATAAATATTTCTACACAAATTCAACCAAAACTTTGAAGTATACATAGATTACAATCAATAATATCTAATCTAGAAAACAATGCTGTGGAAAGCTTTATTGTTATTCATCTTATAAAGTTAGAATAATCTGAGAACAAAATTCTGAGGCACACAGCATACACACAGACACACATAAAAGCAAGTCACAGTACGACTCAGGGAACTCAAACAGGGACTCTGTGACAATCTAGAAGGGTGGGATGGGAAGGGAAATGGGCGGGAGATTCAGGAGAGAGGGGACATGGGTGTATCTATGGCTGATTCTTACTGGTGTATGACAGAAAACCACAAAATTCTGTAAAGCAATTATCCTTCAATTTAAAAAAAAGTGGCAAAAAAGAGAAAACAGCAGATTAACACTATTTATGAAAACTGATGACAAAATTCCCAAATAAAATACTAGCAACCAAATTCAGTGGTAAAGTATCAGAATAACACACTCTAACCAAGTGGGGCTTATTTCAAGAATGCACAGATGGTTCAACATTAGGATATCAATAAATTAATTTCACCACATTAATGGATCAAAAGAGTAAAAATCCAAGAGTG